CACACACACACTCACAGACACACACACACACACAGACAGACAGACACACACACACACACACACACAGCGAGAGATTGATCAGTGTTTGTCTTCAGTCTGAGCCAGAGGTGTAAAGTATTTGAGTAAATGTAATTAGTTAGTGTACTTGAGTATCTTTTCGAATACCTTGTCGTTTTACTGAGTATCAAAGATATTAGCAACTTTTACTCTCTACTTCACTACATTTTTGAATGAGTATCTGTACTCTTTACTCCACTACATTTGATATGAGTGTTGCAGTTACACATTACATTCTGCATGGCACCTAGCTTTTTCTGCAGCAGTTTATTTCTGCTACAAAAGACGTTGAAGGTACTAGATCTTGTGTGTTTGTCCTTACTCAGCCAAACTTGTCAACAAGGCTACTTTACGTGAATGTGAGTTCTTTAGCAAGTATTTGTGAATCACAGGTGTTTTATATACGAGACGAGGACACGACACATCCAGTGCAAGAAGACATTCATTTATATATCCGTTATACTGAAGAGACCTTTTTGAAGGATATTGTTTTTTTGTTTGCTCAAGGTGAAGGAGAATATTAAATTACTTTTTACTTGACATTTTAATTCTTAAGATCACAACTTTTTGTTGAAAAGTATATAAATAAGTAGCACAAAATAGCAAAACTGAATTAATTAGGAGTACAAAATGGTATAAATTGTATAATTTAACAGTAAAAAATGTATTAAATAGTAGCTAAAGTTATATTAATTAGCAATATTTTGTGTAAATTAGCAGTACAAAACATTTTATAGATTACTAAAACAAAACAGCAAAATTGTATTAAGTAGAAATATACTATTAATACAAAATAGTATAAATGAGTATAAAAACCATTAAATTAATAAAACAAAATAGTACAAATCATGAAAAAGTAGTACAAATAGTATAAATTAGTAGCACCTAATGGCAAAATTATATTAATTAGTACAAAATGGTACAAATAGTATAAATTAGCAGAACAAATAGTATAAATTAGTATAAAACAGAATAAATTCTAAATTAGTTGTACAAAAATGGTATAAACAGTATAAATTAGTAGAACAAATAGTATAAATTGTATAATTTTTTTTTTTTTTTGCAATTTTGAGGTGCTTCATTTTATTTTGGGTTTAGAAAAAAAAAAACGTGATAATAAACTCTCCTCACAAATCAACTCTTTCTTGTTTTTGTTACATGCTCTCTGTGCCTTGTCTTGGACTTTTATGTCACTTCCTGTCTCCCATGTGTTTGTAGTCAGTTTGTAGTCCGTTTGTTCATTGGTTCCCCTGGATTTGTCTCCCCAGGTGTGTCTTCATATCTTGTTAAGCTTGTATATATAACCCTAGTGTTTCTTTAGTTCTTTGTGAGTATTAGCAGTTCGACAATATATAATTCAAGAGTATTGCTACAGGTATTCACAGATGGGTCTAAGGAGCCAGAGTCTGGAAGAAAAGCAGCAGCAGCAGTATTTATTCCTACATTTAAAATAAAAACTGCAAAATGGTATGGAAATAGGAAGAAAGATGTCATCAATTCAAGATTAAGAATTGATGGCTGGGAGTTGATAATATTTCTCTAAAAGTATTGTTAGGAAACAGGTCAAGGCAATCAAGAGTGCATGAAATATTATTTAAATACCTGAAAAACACAGGAACAATGGATAGAATCTATTTTTTTTCTTTTCTTTTTTCTCAAAGAAAATTTTCCTCCGTTTTTTTTTCCTTCCAAATCTATGCACACTCCAGAGCAGTAGGTGGCGGTAATGCACCTTTTTTTCGTTGGCTTGCCAAACCGCCATAAAACACCAGAAGAAGACGTAGAAGTTCTTTGTGAGTTGTTGAATGTAACGGTTGTCTGTTTGCCCGTCATTCTGTTCTTTTTTTCCCCTTTGGTTTGTTGTTTATTGTTTGTTCTAGTTTTTCCATTAAATACCTGCACATAGATCCTGTTTTCTCCAGCTTCTCACTGCCATGTCTCTTTGACTAGTGCATTTTGAGCCTATATTTAGTATAAGTCAAATACTTAAGTACTGTTAAAATCAGACACTCTAAGACTTTTCCTCAAGTTGTTTTGGAATTGGTGACTTGTAATGAATTTTCACTGTAAGTTACTCAAGTATGGTTTTCAGATATCTTTCCACCTCTGGTCTGAGCATCATTATGGGTCTGGTTTGTGTTCGTGTCGTACCATCGGAGTGCTGTCGTCGGGCAGAGAGCGCGGCGTGTACGTGAACTCAGAGAAGTCCGGGTGGATTTTCTGGACCGGCTCGATGCCGCTGTGCAGGAGTTTAGTGACCTCCTCCTCTGACACCTTCATGTGGTACATCATCATCTCATTGGCCAGATGACTGCGGAACTGAGCCTCATGGACCTTCTTATACAGCAGAGACTGTAAAACACATGAATACATCAATGAGACCCTGGAGCACAAAACCAGTCATAAGGGTCCATTTTTGGAAATTGAGATGTATGCATCATCTGAAAGCTGAATAAATAGCTTTCCATTGATGTAAGGTTTGTTAGGATAGGACAATATTTGGCTGAGATACAACTATTTGAAAATCTGGAATCTGAGGGTGCAAAAAAATCTAAATATTGAGAAAATCATCTTTAAAGTTGTTCAAATGAAGTTCTTAACAATGCATATTACTAATCAATCATAAAATATAAATATACTAGGGATGCATGATATTATCGGAACATTATTAGGATCGTCCAATAAAGAGCTCAAGGTGTAAGGAGAATATTTTTACTTGATATTTTAATTCTTTAGATCACAACTTTTTGTCTAAAATTATATACGTAGCACAAAATAGCAAAACTGAATTAATTAGTAGTACAAAATTGTATAAATTGTATAATTTAATAGTAAAAAATGTATTAAATGTATTAGCTAAAGTTATATTAATGAGCTGTATAAATCAGTGGAAGAGAGTATAAATCATAAAATATAAATATACTAGGGATGCATGATATTATCGGAACATTATTAGGATCGTCCAATAAAGAGCTCAAGGTGTAAGGAGAATATTGATGCATGATATTATCGGAACGTTATTAGAATCGTCCGATAATGGCTTAAAATGTAAATATCGGCATTGGCCCGATATGAAAAATTATGCCGATATGCCTTTCCGATAAGACGAATAGCTCAGATGTGTGTTCATTCTTAAAGCAAACTTTTAGTGTAATGTTGATTAGATTCACTGTTTTGGATCGTTGCATTTAATTGGAGAATGCACGTTTAGAATTATGTGTCTGCAAATGTTAAATCTTCAAACTAAATGTTAAGGTTCCCTTTCCATCTGTCTGCAAAAAAAAATGCAGCGATTGATTTATAGTTATTTTCAAAGCTTTCAGTGCACTCTCATTATAAAAGAACTTCATTATTGTTTATTTAATTCTAACAAGTAAGTTTTTGTTAAAAACAAACCAAAATTAAAAATAGTTTGTTTATAACCTATGTACAGGCGAGAACTGGTGCTGTTTCCAAACAAAAGGAAATATATTGGTATCGGCAATCGGACGAAATGAGTTGAAAAAAAAAATCGGCATATCGGATATCGGCAAAAAGCTAATATCATGCATCCCTAAATTATACATGCATATACACTACCGGTCAAACGTTTGGGATCAGAACGATTTTTAATGTTTTTACAGGAGTTTCTTCTGCTCATCAAGGCTGCATTTATTTGATCAAAAATACAGGAAAAATTTAATATTGTGAAATATTATAATGATGTAAAATAATGGTTTTCTATTTTAATATACATTAAAATCTAATGTATTCCTGAATTTTCAGCATCATTACTCCAGTCTTCAGTGTCACATGATCTTCAGAAATCATAATAATATGCTGATTTATTATCAATGTTGAAACTGTTATTTTTTTGGAAGCTGTGATACTTTTTTTCAGGATTCTTTGATGAATAAAAAGTTAAAAAGAAGAGCATTTATTTAAAATAGAAAAATAAATGCAGCCTTGAGGAGCATAAGAGACTTCTTTAAAAACATTACAAGTCTTACTGATCCCAAACTTTTGACTGGTAGTGTGTTTATACATATACCGTATAAATAAAAAATATTTTTAAGTTTTCTACAGACAAAATATTGCAACTGTTACATAAAATGTATATACAATTTAGATTTTTATTACATTATATACTATATAATAAAATATAAATGATAAAATAAGACTATATATACAAGATGGAATACAAATTATAAAATAAAAATATACATATGTGTGTATATATATATATCACATTTTTATTGAGTTTTCTACAGACTTGTAAAAGTTATTGAAACTGTTATATAAAATTTATATTTTATAATTTATATTCTATTATATAAAATATATAATAGAATATACATTATAAAATATAAATTTCTATGATATTTTTAAGCGTATATGTTTTTGTCATTGTGATATTGTGTTGAGTGATCGAGGGATGCTGTAGAAAGTCTTACATGAGCGATGCTGATGCCGCAGTAGATGGAGAACGCGGTTGCCAGATCCTCATCGAAACGACTGAACCACGGGCCGTTGGTTTTATTCACCAGTTCTGCCACACCGATCACCTCTGATGAGAAAACAGACTGAGGTCAGATCAGTCAGATGTTCTCGTGGGTTTCTGTACTCGCGTCTGCGGTTGATGCACGTCAACATCGCTTTGACTCAAAAGTCTCTGATTGCCCTCAACATCTTTGTGAGAAGAATGGCAAACACACACACGCACAAAGACAACACCCTCAAGGACACACATTTAACTTTGAGTTCATTCTCTCTAAATCTCAGGCCTCTAATGTTTCTCTTCACTGAATCTTCACTGCTTTGGCAACATGAATCTCCAGCAGGTTTCACTACACTGTAAATATTTTTTTATTTTTTTATTTTTTTTGAGGTTGTAAATAATATGTGTCCCTGGAGCACAAAAGCAGTGTTAAGTCGCTGGGGTATATTTGTAGCAATAGCCAACAATACATTGTATGGGTCAAAATTATAGATTTTTCTTTTATGCCAAAAATCATTAGGATATTAAGTAAAGATCATGTTCCATGAAGATATTTTGTCAATTTCATTCCGTAAATATATCAAAACTTAATTTTTGATTAGTAATATGCATTGCTAAGAACTTCATTTGAACAACTTTAAAGATGATTTTCTCAATATTTAGATTTTTTTGCACCCTCAGATTCCAGATTTTCAAATAGTTGTATCTCAGCCAAATATTGTTCTATCCTAACAAACCACACATCAATGGAAAGCTTATTTATTCAGCTTTCAGGTGATGTATAAATATCAATTTCGAAAAATTGACCCTTATGACTGGTTTTGTGCTCCAGTGTCACATATAAAGATTACTGTAATACATTTTACATGAAAACACTATTTCAGTCTTTCATGTTTAATTCAGTATGTTACCTGCGGTTTCTTTGTAATTATTTGTGAAATTTACTAGAAATTGAGGACAAATTACTGAGTGAAAATGGTTTTGGATTAAAGTGTAATCCACACATTTTTGGGGAATAAGGATGGATTTTTAATTTTGCTAACATCACTTTTCGCCTTGTTTTTGTAAAAACTAACAGAAGTCAGTTCCTGAATGACATCACCCTACAGGAAGTTACATCATTTTGGATACATTTGTAACATATTACGTTTAAAAACTGTTGATACACTTTCTCAAAATATTTTCAAAGTTTCAATGTTACATATTTTAACATTTCTAAAGATTTTATTTATTTCTAGGTCTAAAAAATAAAAACATTTTCCCCTTAAATTTTCCATTCTTCCATTTATTTCCTGTTCATTTTCTTTGTGGTTGTGTAAATAATTAAATTAAAATAAATAAGGTTATAGATGTCTGAACTTGACCAGAGCGGAGCAGTAATGACAAAATCTTTTGAAAACAATTTTAAATGTCTATATATTTTATAAATATTTAAAGATTTAATCTGTATAGATTTTATTTATTTCCTATGGTTTTCCACAGGGACAGCATCCAGGATTGACGTGTCTGACCTTCGTTCTCATCTTTGATGGGGAAGCAGAGGATGTTTCTCGTCCTGAAGCCCGTGCTGTCGTCCACACCGCGGTAAAACAGAGGGTGGGAATACGCATCCTTGATGTTGAGGATTTTCCCAGTGGTAGCGACATGACCAGCGATGCCCTGATCCGCCGGGATACGAAACTCCTTCTGCTCACACCAGAGAGAGAGAGAGACATACGTAGAGAGAGAGAGAGAGAGAGAGAGAGTGAGAGACATAGAGAGAGAGAGAGGTCAGAGTTCAATGCATTTATTCAGCTCGCAACACTGTAAAAAATTATTTTAAAGGTAAAAGACTGTAAAATTTCTATGGTAAAAATATGTTAATTGGTTAACAGTAAATTTCTTTACTGCAAATTTAAATTTGAAACCTAAAATGTTGCTACTATATTTTTTTCTGCTAGTTCTGGCAACAAAATCCAGAGTTTCATACCATACTTTTTTTTTCTTTTTTTTTTTTTACAGTAATATATGAGGACATACCCACCTGGCGTGAAAATAAGCCAATCAAAGCAGCAGGAAGCAGACGGAATAAAAATCCTCATTGGTGAACGAGGTCGCACTCTGTCACAGACGTTTGGCAGGCCTAGGCAGTGCCACAGGTGTCACAACGCAACCTCTCCATTAAAACTCAAATCGTCTCTCCCATACAGACGCTGACAACTTTAGAAAGAGAAGAAAGAAACATTTAACTTTGAACCAGTAGCAGTCCACCTGGATCACATTCAACATCTCTGGTGAGCAATATGAGACACTTTAATTCTCTTTGATTCTCTGCAGAAAAGGTTTCATTCACTGATGCACTTCAATGATGATCCCAGATGATGATGCAAAACCATTTTAATTTAACAAGTGAAAATGTTGCATATTTTTTTCTGCTAGTTCTGGCAACAAAATCCAGAGTTTCATACCATACTTTTTTTTTCTTTTTTTTTTTACAGTAATATATGAGGACATATTTTTTGAAAATGTCCAATTGAAAAAAATATGGTTTGTTTGTACCGAACCGAAAGCCTCATACCGAACGGTTCAATACAAATACGTGTATCATTACACCCCTAATATATGCATGTAAATATTTTCAAAATATATACTGTATGTGTGTGTATTTATATAT